ACTGCTTCCTGAAAGAAAATACATTGTACTTCCTGTGAAGCTTATAGAGATAAAGACATCACTTGCCTGTACAATGCTTGAGTTTTTAAAGTTCAGGAAGTAGCCACTACTGGAGACAAAGAAGCTAGTTTAATATCAGTAAGTTTTTTTAAAATTGAGGTTAATAAGAAAGTATGGTCCATTTAAGATCATGACCAATATAGACACTAAAAAGTATTTCCGATTACCAAAGTACAAAGAATAATGCCAACTTAATTTAAAGTTTATAAAACAAATACACTTCCTCATTTAGACCACTATTTCAATTCAGCATCTCCTTGCTAGCAGAAATATCTTGTGTTATTTTTGCTTTTTTGTATGTTTTTCCCTTATTTTTGTTCTTTATTTTCTGAAACAGATGTATAAAATCACAGCCTATATTAATCTCCTCTTCCAAAACATTACAAATTATTGGAGCACATAAAGGCAATATACTACATATTCGACAGATTAATAAGAGCATTTGAAATGGTAGGGAATAATACAAGAAGTAGGATGCACATTATAAAAAGTGAAAGGGAAGTTACATCAGGATATGTATCAGGGAAAAAGAAAAACAGTGACTTCAATAAGTATCCATATTTTATTGGACAACATGAAAAAGAGCACAAAGATTATTGGCAAAAATAAGATTTCAAACCTCTAGCTGACCATAGAACTCTGGGCCTAAGACAGAGACTGAGTTAAGTGCACACACAGGTATGAAGAAATACTGCAGTTACACAGGTTTCTCTCTTCTGTGATTAACAGTTTTGAGTCATTTGTGCAAGAGTTGGAAATTTCAGGTGTAAACATATCTTCTGTATCATTTTACTTTGCCATCTGTACCATTTACTTTGCCATTCTGTACCATTTTACTTTTGATGATGACATTCATCATCATCTTGATTTTCTAATGAGCTCACTGCAAAAGTTATATATTTACAATAGCTTCGAGTCTGTAGAAATACTTGCATCTAAGCACAATATTTTTTTCATTTAAAATATAAACTAAAACTCATCAAAATCTAAGTGCATCAAATGCGCTGTACAAATATATAAAGTGGATTAGACACTGGTCATAAGCACATATTTGTGAATCAAAATTTACAAACCTAAATTTCATAGAATGAAGTGCTACTAGAACATTCCATCATCAAAATACCCCAACAAAACCCACAAAATATCTTGCTTTCTTCATTTAACTATTGAAAACACTATACAAAATGCCATGTCAGTTCTATATAAATATCCTGAAAAGAAAGATTAATATGGCCATCTAGAGGAGAAAAGAATGATATGAAAACATGACACATGCATTTTTAGGCTTCAGAATAAAACATTTTTAAAGATGTGCAGCCAGAAAATAGATGTAATAAACTAATTACGTAATTGATAATAAGTGAACCTTAAAATAACATCATTAGACATTTTGATGGTCTTAGTAATGAAAACTTATTAATATTAGACATGGTTTTAGCAAAGCTTACAGTGTGTATTAATAAAGACAAGATTATATTTTTGTCTCATTGTGAAATTTTGTGTGTGCACTGTGAAGTGCAGACACATCTAAATAAATTTAAAAAGCGAAGATTAAAGTGCAGAGTAAACAATTAGTAAATCTGTTTACTGACTCCTTTGACAACACATAGCACACTGTTGCAAGATACAACATGTGATAGAGATTAACTGCTGAAAGAAAATAAAAAAGAATTTTCTGAAAATGAAATATCATTTTTATTGCTCATATTACTCTACTTCTGATGGAATTTTTAATGGTATCATCAGAGGCTAATTTACTGCAGTGAGCTTGAGGAAACAGAGGTGAGACAAAAATGAATTCTCTCTTCTCATCACTTCATTGTAAGACTATCAAGCCCTGGTCAACATATGGACTGATTGGTGCCTTAAGCTGGAAGTACAGCTGAAATGTTTAAGTTTTAGAAGTAGAAATGTAAAGTACATATGAGGAAACACAAGCACACAAAGTATAATAGTATAATTGACAGTTGTTTCTCTCATTAAATAAAGTACATAGGAACACATTGCTTGCACTCCACTATAAAGAATCAAGAAATGGTTCTATCATTTGTCTTTACACTTCTAAAAATAATTCAGCAGTCATAAAAAAACAGCTATTTAATTAAACATTTCAGGATTCCTATGGCATCAAGTATTCTATAGATTCATTTTGCAAGTTTAAGGAGCAGTTTAAGGAGCTCTGAATTTTTAAAAATTACACTGAAACATCTGGAATGTTGATGCTCTCCACTTAGAATCAGAGATTTTTAACCTCATCTGTTCACTGAACTGTTTCTCTGAACATATATGAATTGTTTGGTAGCGATAGCCAGGTCTCATTTATTTTTGGCTGCAGGCTTTCCTCATGAGGTTTCCACCTTCTCATCAAAGTTCTAGGTTGGGCAGCTTTCCCTCTGTAATGATCATAACATGACGAGGCATACTCTGTCTCTTCCTCTATTCTAACACACCTCTATCATCGTGCAAAGATTCCTTCTTTTATGCTTGAAGTAATTTAGGAAGAACATAAAAAGTACTAACACTAATTATTCTAGTGTGCCACCTTCAGGTCACTGAAAAGTGAAAAATACTAGATTGTTAATCTGTTGCCATGTCTAATACCATAAAACTCTTTTTAATACTGTTGAACATAATTTTAGTGAGATTAATGAATTACAAAAATAAGAGAGAATCATCACTCTAATTTGCAAGTGCTTTGCAGAAAACTAGAATGATTGCAGGCTATCTAAATAACTGCTGATTCTCCACTCCTTGTAAAATGTGAGAAGAGAATGCTCTCACAAGCAGCAGCAAAAACAAAACACTGGCAGTATATTAAAGCTTTTTCGCAAGTAGAAGTATGTGGTTAAAAACTTACAATTTTCTAAGTTAGGATGTTTTGATAGTTTTTGCTTTAGATTTTTTTTTCAAACCCTGAATGTTCCTTCATTATAATAAATTCAATTTGCATACTAATTTTAGAGTGGATATGTGTGTGCATATATAAATGGGTTTTACATCCAGCCAGCTTCCTGCATGGAAAGAGCATTGAGAAGGGATAGCAGCTGGTGACAGAAATCTTTAGCAATAGAAGAAAAAATGAAAAAGGAGGCGGGGGGGAAAACAATTGTAACTTTCCTGATGCAATATTTGGACTTGCCAAGTATTCTTTTGTCTTAGATTCTAACCATGATATAGATTTCCAGACTGGAATTCTCATTCCCCAGAAGAGGATAAAAGTCTGTGACTATGGATTTTCATAACCTGAGAGAATGACAAGGAAGACAATTATTAAAACAACAACAACAACAAAAACCGTGGATACAGACTAGCACAATACCTTTTGAGCTTAAGGCTTACTGGGCCAAAGTAGAAAGCTCAGATGAACTCAGAACTTTTCACTGAGAAGATGAACTAGGTAGGATAAAAACAAATCTGAACAACTGTGAAATACAAAGAGGAATGTCATATGTTCCTTCCAACATGAATTATTCTATGACTATTTTAACAACCGGCCTCAATAGTTTGAAAAGAGACAAATACATTATTCTGGGTATCTGAAAGTAGTCGTCTTGTATAATTTGTATCTGGTATTACTTGCTAATAAATACAATTGAGTTTTCCATCTCCTGTTAATATACATCAACTTTCTTTCCCAATAGTGACATAAACCATACAAAAAACTATTATCTTATCATATTCCCCCCACCAACACTGTTGACAGACCTCAGTAGATATAAAACCCAAACACGATATCCCTTTCACTACCCTTCTTCTTTGTTGTCCCTCTCCATCACAACGTCCAAGGATTGGTTCTCGCCACCTGACCTCACCTCTGCACCTCCTTCCCTATTTGCTGGAACTCAGACTCCCAGGTCTTCCTACAATTTAACAAAGGAAAGAACCAAAATTTCTGATGATGTGAAAAGAATCCTCTTATTCTGCAACTTACTTCAGTTATGCTTTCATGTCCTTTGTGTCTTAACTTGGAATCATGAATGCGCATGCACCAATTTCAAATTTCAGTGGCATACTTTTATATAATTGAATTACATCACATAGTAGAAAATCTAATTTTTTTCAAGCACTTCTGGACTATATGGAACATTTAAGGACAGACATCTGTTACATGTATCCACTTTTCCGTAGAAAGCATCAATCTCTAAAAAACCTTTGCATTTTGAAGGAAGACCAACAAATACCTTACTATAGCACAGTAACTATATTAGAATCTGACTTTTACCTAACTTCAACCAAAGTTCACTTCTAATGCTAGAAAATGGCTATAGACACAGTTCTCACATACAGCTATTTTCCAGCACAAAAAGCATATTGACAAAATATTGACAGCAGAATTCTAAGCCTCTCAGCCAGTCAGGTTGTCACCCTAACTCACAATAAATATATACCACAAAAGAAAGCATCCATTGTTTACATCCAACTTTTAACACCATGAAAAAATTATATTAATCTAATCTTTGTAATCAGAATTTTTTCTGTGATTTCAAGAAAAGAAAAAATACAGAACATTCAAGTAATGCACATTGCAATGACCATATGCACTGTAACCAATAACCAATTTCACTTACTTTGCTGTTATAACAGCTTATCAACAGAGGAAGAACAGGTCTTCTTTGTATTTATAATACCACAGAATTCATCAACAGTTGCCATGTTTCTTTCCTAAATCAAAAGTTTAAATTCCTCCAAAAATAAAATGGCTAATGATAAAATTGTATGAGACTTAAGATAACAAGATAGTATATCATTTGCAGTATTTCTGGAAGATTCTGCACAAGTATGTGCCATTTTTTTGGAGCATGCACAAATATAAGACATATCTGGGTATTTCTTGCAGACATTGACTATTTGCAAGTCAAGCTGTCCTCATCTAGGACTTAGTTATCCAGAACATAATTCTGAAATTTGGAATAAAAGGAATGCTTTTAAATCACTCTTACCTTCATCTATTGAGGCTTCACTACTGTATCCATCATATTCTGCAGACAGGGGACTATATTTTTGTCTGGTTTCCCATATATAGTTTTTTTGCTGTCTGCCATCCACCACTGGCAGCCTGGAACTCTGGGTTCTAGACAAGGCCTCATGATATTTACCCAGTGCTTCATCTTCACTCTCAGATGATGAACCATGCTGGTCTTTACTCATATAAGAGTTGTCTGTTTGAATAAAATAAAGCAAATCGACTACAGCTCAAAATAGAATACAAGAAAATAACCATAAAAGGTTATCACTGAAGAAATTTAAGCTATTTCGATTAGAATTTCTGTAATATTTTAAAAACATCATCTTGTTGTAATTATAAGTATTATGTGATTTTGTAATTGGTGAGAGCTATTTTTATTTTCTAGAAAAACTGAAAGATCATTAAGCCTCCAAAAAAGCATTCTAAAACTTATTCAACAGAAAATGGATCCACTTATGTAAGGCAGCACACATTGAAGTTCTTGAAACCCTTGATTAAGTAAGAAAATGCTCAAAGTCATTTATGTAAAGTAAATCCAACACTGCTGCAATATTACATTTTGATACCTAACATCAAAAAGGCAGCTCCTGATCCTCCATTCCCAGCTGATTTTTGCTGTGAGCATGCAGTATAACATAGAAATGAAACTGATTTACAAAGAGAAGCCTACAACAAAATCATCTTAGGATATTTATGTCAATAGTGCTCAAACTCACAATAACAAATGGGAAAATGCTAGTGAAAGATGTTTACATGCACAGTTTTATTTAACTTCCAATAAACAGCCCCTTGTTCAACAACTGAAATAAATGCAGATTCTCACTGCAGGCATCTGGCAACACCAAAAAATGCACAGAATAATCTATCTAGTTAATTCTTTTATACCAGTTCCTCTATAATGCCCAGCCCTGTGGCCAACTTTTTCCAAGTACATCTCAAGTATGGCTTCCTCCCACAAGTCAAAGACTCAGCTGCATTTTTATTTCTGTAAAAGGAAAGCTTCCTCCTTCTTTTTCCAAGTCTCACATGGATTCTGTCCAAATTTAACATGCCGTGCAGAGGTTCTGTAGATCTCAAACTCTAATAGGCATTAAAAGAGTTCATGTAAATTCAATAAAGTTCAGCATTACCACTAGTCTGTGAGCAAGTCTATGGTATATGATTTGCCAATGGATTTCCATTACCAGCAGAGCTCTGAGATGCCCATGAAGCTGTTTTTTCAGCTCCTGATTCTGCAAGGGAATATCATCTAACATACTATCCAGCCATTCTCAACTGCTTCTCCCCTCCCTGCTTTTTTATGCTCTCCACCCAGTCCCTGTCCTAGCCGTAGTTCAGCATTTCCGCTGCCATTAGTCTCTGTCTTCATGCCCAGCCAGTCTCTCTCCTCTGCCTGGGTATTCAGCTTATCCAAATTTCAACCATTTACAATCAAAGTAACTCAACCTATGCCAGTCATCTAGGCTTCTTTTACAATCCAGTGTTTCCCTCCTCCTACTACAGAGGTTCTTCCTTCCCACTTTTAGGGCAGGCTCTAGAGTATGAGTAAAATCACTTCCCATAGAGGTCTATTTCTCCCTGGTACTCATACAGAAAAGCCAATACTGCAAGTTTAAGACATCTTTTGCAAAGCTACATTTATGTGAGTAGAATCTTATTCCAAGTTCCTGTCTCCTAGCCCCATACTCCAGATTCCTGATCCAAGCACCCAGTTTTGGTCTCTCATGGTGACTTCCTCTTTATTCTGTTTATTCAATCTCAAATTCTCTTTACTTGCACCTAACCAACTACTCATGTAACCTTAGTCTTTCACCCTCAGTCTCTCCACCTTCACACGTTATCAGTTCTCCATAGCTGCCACCCAACCTACTTCAAATCCTAGTCTACCACTTGCATCACACCACATTTGTTCAGGAAGTTTCTGTCCTCACAAAAGTCATGTTTATTCCCAATTCTTCTGTTCCAACTTCCAGTGTCCTTCGGTAACCATAAGTATCAAAAGCAGGATAAGACCCGCTCTGTCCTTCAATCCCTACAATGAAGCATATGAGTGCAAATAGGACGGTCAGTGAATTTAACAAGCAAATGATAAGAAGAGTTTACTATGCCTTTTCAAAAGGCGAAGTTTCCAAATATCTACAGCTTGGTCAAACTTACATGTTTTTTCATAGAAGAACATGGGCATCTCTGACATGGGAAAAGTGCTCTCCCACATTTCAAGTACATACTACAATATACAAAGGTGCCAAAACATCTTAGTGTAGCAGATGTGAAATCTACTTATTTTTTGCACAGATAACCAGCATGTTTTTCCCATACTCTATTCCTGGAAACAGCTAAAGATTTTAAACTATACCTTAAAAAAAAAAATTCTCAGACAGAAAGCATGCCAAATTTTATCCCAAATATTTCAAATTTGTCATACAGTTTTAAGAAACTGAAAATAAGGTCTTGAAATGGAAAATGTCAGGAAACCTTAACTGCAGATGGTGTTACCAGCTCTACATGCAATGTGTATGTAATCTTAATTTAGTATTTATAGGAAAACTGGTGCCTTAAAAGACTGCTAATGAGCAACTAGATCTTTCAACTCTAGCCTATCAATTCTAATTCAAGTCTGACAGGTATGGTTCTTCCCATTGTGTGGATGGCTATAAAGCAAATTTAATTTCACTGATCACTTACTGAAAATATCACACCAAGTAGAATATAGTCTGGCTAGCATATAGGAGCCTCTTTTGCTGGTGCAGAGTAAAATTTTGTATCTCATATGTCCCTGAACTGGTTGAAACCTACCACCCAAGAAACTTTTACAGATTTCTACAACTATAATTAAAGCAGGGCATACCAGGACTAAAATATAGTGATAGACATCAATATTAGATGCATCACTTATCATTACAAGAAATGTATTCACAAATAGGAAATTAGCTTCATTAATCAGTCTGCATAAACTATAAAGAATGGAATAGCATAATACATGGTAGCAACATGTTTGAAAGAAGTACTGAAAGTTATGCCTCTGATAATACACTGTCATTTGTAAGCACCCAGAAATTCTCCGTGATAACAGGTATTTTTTCTCCAGTTCCTAGCATAAAAGAATGAGGATGTATACTATTATTACAAGTCATGAAACAAGACCTCTTCAGAGGACTTTAAAAACCTCATTAAAACACAAGCTATCCATGCAAACATTCTGAAAACGAACAATACAAATCTGTTTCAGTTATCTGCGAAAAAATAGCTTCCTGCACATTAAAAAAAAAAACCTCAGGGTTTTATGCCTCTCCTTGCCACTTCCCTTTTAATTTTTATATCTTATTTGGAAACTTCCCTAAGAGAATTCATGTTCTTATTAAAAACTTTCCTTTATTTGGCTAACACAAGTTATATGTAATTATTAACCTATTGAAAGCTATTCATTTGCTTATTATGGGACCTAAAATGCCATTTTTTGATAGAGAATATACTTTACAAATATTGTATTACACAAAGAAATAATGGATAAGATCATAGTTTATCATACAAACACAGAAACCACTTCCTAAAAAAAATTTTAAAAAACAAACAAAAACCCCCCAACAAAATTAATAACTGAAATTTTCAGATAAGGGAAAACACATACACGCACACTGAAAAGACCAAGCTACCAACAACACCTGATTTCTATTGTGAAATAATTAATTTCTCTACAGAAACAGCATCTCCAGAAAAGCCGGTGTTGCTTTCTAAAAATTCACTACAGTCTGCAAAACGATTGTGTAAAAACGCAAGCTTTTACTTCTTACAAACTATTATTGCAATTCCACTGTCGTATTGTTAAAGATTGTATGTTGAACATGGCACACACAGCAATATCAACAATATATAGGTTTTCTTTGTAAGACTACAACTTTTTTTAAGACAAACCTCATTCAGTTCTTTCTATACTTAAAATCACTTAATTGCCACTTGTCATTGAGTTTTGTGTCTTGAAATTATCTTAGAGGCATATGAAATACATTCTGAAGATCTACTGTAATGTAAAAAGAAGGGTTTTTTTCCCCATCATCTTATCAAATTTTATGCAAGGCTTTTAAAATACACAAAAGAAAACCCACTTTCACAGAACAATAATTAATTTGCAGTATTAATTCATACACACAGGGCACTGCAGAGAAGGTAAGAAAAACTGTATATAGAAAAAGAAAAGTTAGAACACAGGAAAGCCATTCATTAAGTAATACTTTAAAAAGTAATTAACTTCCAAGAAATATCAACGTAATTAGAGAATGAAGCACTGACAACACAGACTTACTTTCATGCACAGGAAACACTATTATTAAATGTGTATATTAGGTGAAAAAAGTAGAAAGTATCATAAGTTTCAGGAAAGGTTGAAGAACCAGTTTGCTGACGGACTCCTCACCTTTTCCTGTTGTCGCTTTATTACATAGCTCTCTTGAATTCTTTTCGGATTTCTTTGAGTTTTTCTTTTTACCCGCTTTTGCAATTGTAGTTGACACATCGTCTTCATCCTTTGATATGGATTTTCCTTTTCTGTTAAAAAAGGCTTCAGATTTCTTTTCTCTGAATTCATTAATGCAAGTGGGATGGTCATTGTGTGTCTTCTTCAAGCTAGAGTCTGATAATTTTTGCTTCTCTACTTCAAGAAGTTTTGTTTCTAAATCTTGGGGAACATTCATACGGTGCACTTCTTCAGAATTCTTAAAGTCAACGCCAGGTGACTGTGGTTTGATTTTTCTATGCAAGTGATTCTTAGAACTATCTGATACTGCACATAGGCAATTACCTTGTTCCTCCATAGATTGCTCCATTGTAAATTTATCACTTTTCAGGTTACTATCCTTCAAGAACTTATCATTTACAAAACATTCATTTCCTCCTACTGGTTCCCTTTTAAAAGGTCCTCCTACATTCATCAAATTCTGAGGTACTTCTGTATCACTTAAATGATTATTACTATCTCTGCCTTTTAACTGGCATTGTTTTTTGTCTGCGACGTGGTCAGATACTCCATCTTGACTTGTATCTTTTTTTACATAATCTAATGAATTAGAATAATGAGTCTCTTTATGTTCTGCTATACCTCTCTTCATTTTCATATTAATTTCCTGAGAGTGAGTTAATGATGGTGTACGTTCCTCTCTCTCTTGCACAGGTTTATCATTCTGTATTTTGGAGCTTTCATCTTCTGCACGAAGGCCATTTATCATGCTTGTTACTTGCTCTGTTACTGAATCAGCTACGCTGTAGCCAACCTCTCCAACAACACTGGTCAGATCATCCACAGCACTGCTAAGTGTGTCCACCAGAGAAGACACAGAGGGAAGGCTCAGATTTTGGTGGAGGTTTCTGAAAAATGCCATTTGTCCAATCTATTCAGCAACAACTTTTCATACAGAAAGGTCCTCCATTTCACAAACTGATCAACTCCATTCCTCCAAGTTCAATTTCAGAGCTATTTGCTTTTGCTATCTCAAACTCAACACATTTATCGGGGAAGTTGCAGCTTTGCTCTTTCCATTCAATATGCATTAAAAATAATAAGAAAGCAGCTAAGTAAATATCTTGAAATGAAGTCACAATCAACCTGCAAAACCATAGTCTTTCATCAACTGCAGCATCAACTAGCCATAATAAAATTCATTATTTTCAAAAATAAGACAACTGTGTAAGTTGGAAATACGTTTTTTTAATTCTAACCTGCAAAGAAGAAGTTGTGAGACATTTAAATTACATCCTTTCATCAATGTCATACCAAAACAAGCTTTTAACATAATAGCTGCACAAAACCACGCATCATGGAGACTTCTTCACCCCAAAATACGTGTTGTCTTTTACATAAGGTAAGATATTTTGGAACATCAGGACTTGTTTTGTAGCAAAAAGAAAGTTGACAGACTTAATTTTGGGGGGGTGGGGGGACCTTTTTCTGTCTCCAAGAAAATTGAAAATAAAAATTTAGCTGCACCTTTTAAGGAGGTAGATGGGAAAAAAACCTCTCAAAATTTCCCATTCTGTTCTCTGGTGCCTGCCTCTTCAAGTCAGCTAACAAAGCCCATCCAATTTCCATAGTCACAAAGTAGAAACAGGTTATTTTACTAACCCTCAGTATCTTTTCTGAGGTCCAATTTTTCTCATTTCACATTTTTAATAGAACAAGGTTTTTAAGAACAAAGTATAGAAATAATTAAATGTCTTTAATAATATAGATGTCTTTAGTTTCTAATGTTTTACTACTTTGAAATTATTTTCCAGGTGAGTAAATGCAAGACCTTCTCCAAAAGGTTGGTGAAGGATTTTAATAGACTGAGTGAAAACCCAATAATCCCATTCCCAAATTTACTTGAGAACATTTAATTATACACAATTATAAAACATTTAAAATACGTGCAAGAGTATTCTCATAGTGCAAGAGAAATATTTTCCCATAAGTAAATGTCAACTCTTTGGTTATGTAGCTGTTGAATTTCTGCGGCTTGTGAATGCAAAAGTTTCTTCCTTTCCACATACTGCACAGTCATGGGAAAAATCAACACTGTGTGTTTTCATCACCCGAGACAAGTGATTATTTGTGTATTTCTACACATCCTTGTAAAAATGCACATTCTTATAATTAAGTTTAATACACTGTATTTCAGATACTTACACAGTTTATCTTGTGAATTCTTTCTTGTAGTGTATCCTGAATCGAGATCTGGGAAACCACTAACATTTTCAAAACAGATCTTCTTATTAATATATAGGAAAAGTAGCAACATGAGAATAATGAACACCCCGACAGCAGACAGGAATCCAATTGCTTCAGGAGATACTAAAAGAAACAGAAAGAAACACATTTTTAAAAGTCTTGTAAAAGTTTTACTTGTTAAAGTTGTATTTATCAGAATTGATCATTAATAAATATTACTAAAGTTCCAAGTATATATGCAAGATATAAATGGAAACCTACCATTTAAATTTGAGTTAATGTTTAACACTGTTAAATGTCATCAGTTTCTTCTCTTCCAACCATCTTTTCAAAGAACAGAAAAGTATCTAGTCCTCATCTAAGGGAGGACTGACATCATGAGCAAGAGGTTCTGCTGGAGTACTGGACCCCATAACAAGACAAGGTCTCTGCAGAAAATGAGGAGATGATCAGCAGATGCCAAGGCTGGTAATTTTTGATAGAACATCTTGGAGAGAGTACTAGAAGGGAGCTAAGAGCTTCCCCCTTCCTGGAAGGAGCTGCAGGTTTGGCAACCTAGACTCAGGACCAACTCCTAGATACTGCTGCTCGGGAGGGACTAAGCCCTTGCTGGTGAGGTCATTGCACCTGCCAGCCTTGTTATGCTCAGCTCCTGGCTCCTCTTCCCTTAGGGACCAGTTGGCCCTCGCTGCTCCCTGACAAGTAGAAAACTGTATGAGCAAAAAACAGAATGAGAAACAGCACATGAAGTTATGTTCCTTGCCCTGGTATCTGTGCCACTTGCATATAAACCAAGAAAGAGCTAAGTGGAATAGAGATAAAGCATACTTAATAAAAACCAGGTAGAGGAAAAAAAAAGGCTGAAGTAAACTGACATGTCTTAGTGTATAAAATAAATTGATATTAAGCAGATAGCAGAAAAGAAGTCTTGCGCATCTTTTACAGGGGTAGAATCTTTCAAATCCTTCACTACCTAAGTAACAACATCAGAAATACTGGTTAAGACCAAGATTACCTAGGAAATGGTTTTAGAAATATGAAATCTGAGAATGAATGTAGCAAATTGGACCAATGGGGTAAGAGTAATTAAGAGGCAGCTTGATATTCAAAAGGAGACTAGGGAATGAAAGGGATATAGAAGGGTCTAGAAACCTAAGAAATAAGGAACAAGTTGTAAAAGCAGTTCAAGAACAAGAGAGGGCAGATCTTTTGATAGAAGGAGTGCAGATGCCCAGAGACTATAACAAAGCTGATCTGCTTCATTAACCACGGCTGCCAGGATATCAGAGGGAAGCCCCTTGGGCAACCCACTGGACTCTCCACTGAGTCTACATCTGAAAGACTTGATGTGAGAAGTTAAAGGGTGACAGAATTGCAAATTCGTTACTAAATGATGTGGGAGGTTAAAGTGAAAGGTTATAGAACTGTAATTCATTAGTATTTAGATGCAACTTTTACAAGAACAAAGTGATAGACCTGTAACTCAGTAACTGTGTGCAATTAGCAATAGAGTTACAGAACTGTGATTCATAGTCATATGTTTATTAGTTAATTAATCTGTTAACTGGTTTATCAGTAGTGTGCTGACCAATTAATAAACATTATAGCCTCTTATATCACTTATGTCTCAAACCTGCACTCTGAAGAGGGAGAGTAAGATCTTAAGGTAACAGACACCTTAACACTCATAGTGTTTTCTGTGGCCTCAACACACAGAGATGCATCTTTCAGGATTGATCACAGCTGCATTCAGCTGCACGAAAGCTAGGATTTCACACATCCATTTCTTCCTGCTGTTTTCTCTAGACTCTTAAGTGTCCCGTACCATAAATCCCATTCTTGGGGGTTGCTTTTGTTTCTATTTGTAGAAGATTCATAAATGACAGAATGACAGAATGGTTTGGGTTAGAAGGAAATTTAGCAAGACTTATCAGATTTTTTAATTCTCTTGGCCAAGATCTTGGTACTTTACTTTAGGAGTATAACGCTGTGTGGCAACATCTTTCACTACGTAAAAAGAAGTAGGATTAAAGAAAAGTTGGCAACAGACTCTGCATTCTCAGAGATGCAATACAAAAGGACAAGAGGCAATGGTCAGGAGTAGCAACAAGGAAAATTCCCGTTGGAGATAAGGGAAAAAAATCCAGAATAAGAGGGGTTAAGCACTGGAACAGACTGCCTAGATCAGTTGCAGAATTCAACTTTAATGTTAGCCCTGCTCTGAGCAGGCAGCTGAACTGTGAATTACTTCCTCAGGAGCCTTCCAAATTAAATTATTGTCTGAGTCTACATAATGTCCTTTGTAAATCTGGGCTCATACATTTACGTAAAAGTGCTGACTGAGAAACACACGCAGTTCCACAACACCCTCAGTTTGTTTTGGGGGCATTATTTCTGGGATGATAAGGAACATTTGTGTTTGTGGTGCTATTTTAAATAATTATACAGCTGTGTTTTAAAAACAAAAAAGATCAAAAGAAATACACCTTCCATCATCATCAGATTTGCACTTCTATTTTGAGTTGGACATCCAGACCTATCTGAAATTGTGAAAATTACTTTTGTTCCACTTTTTACCTCTGACTAGAACAGATCACATAACATTGTGCCTAGAATTCTGAAAATTTTCACAGGAAAAGGAACTTGCCAAGAGCTTTGAACCACCCATCCTGACAAAATTACTAAAGAAATACCAGAATGGCAACCAAAGAAATCCCAAAAGAATGAAACAGAAACCCGATCAGACCAGAATCTCTATTTAGTCAACACCAAACTTGAGTAAATCTTTTTTCTTGTTTTATTAAATCATACCAGAAAAGTTAGGAAAACCATGAGCAACACTCAGCTGAGTTAAGCTGGGAACACTGTCTTTTGAAGAACTTAAGGCACAGCTAGAAATAATTGGCAACCTTCAAAATCTAACCTTCACCTTCCAAACCACTGAAGTCCAAGACAGGGCAAGAAATATAAGAAAACAGTATAACTGCTTAATAGGGCCAAAATAGAGTGCAACAGGGAGGAGCACGCATGTGTTATTTTCAATTTCAGACAGAACAAAAGAAATACAAAGATGCGTATAGTTATTAAGTTCCTCAACAGTCCATCAGGATGAGAGGTCCTGCTGCATCAAGCCGAGCAAGAAGGTGAGAAGAGTAGAATTCTATTCCAGACCAGAGAGGAAAGGAGGCTAAAACTTTTTTTAAAAAGTATTTTCATTATAATGAACAAATAGAAAAAGAAATCCCTTTGTTCATGAAAGATCTTGGTTGCACTTCCTACTAAGATTACCTGACATCCCCTTCCGAAGTCTGTTTGAAGGTGCTCATAATTTAATTAAAAACATTTGTTATAGCTGAAGTTTATGGCAACTCTGCCACATACTGAAGGGGTTCTGTATGTTTTTAAGTTAAAAAAAAGTTAAGCCATGACCGAGAATGAGCTGAAGAAAAAAAGAATACCACTATAGTGGTGACCTTTTTTTTTTTTTTTTTAAAGCCCTAGTGTTCCCTGATTTAGGGCAAGGAAAATTTTGCATGTGTCAGGTGTTCATTTACCATTTGTCAGGTGTCCATCTACCAATTTCATGGAATCTTCCTAAATATGGGAAAGCTCTGAGATTTGACAAAGCCTCAGTTTGTGTACAATCATTTTTGACCTCGAAGTTTAACAGATGAAATCTCCCAAGGCAGCAGGCATGCTCCCTCCCCTCCCAAGACTGCATATGGATAACAGAATATCTGGAACTACTGGAATAACCATGAGTTTTCTTTGAATTACTGATCCTGACCCAAATGAGACTTGAGACAAGGCCAAGAGCAGAAAATCTTAATGCTTCAATAACTTCCAGTTCTAACACCTATCAAACACAGAGGAACTAGCAGAAAAGGCAGGAAGAAACTGCGGTTCACCAGGACACAGGGACCAACAGAAGTGATAGTGAAGTGGAAGGTGGCAATTAGGCACAACATCCACTGAGGAAATGGGAAGTACGAGTTATGAAGAAGGTGCAACATCACGATGCAGTACACAGAACAGGTCAGGAAGCGAAGAGAAAGCAGAAAAAGAAGACAGATTAGGAAGACTAGACAGATAAAGAAAATGGAAGCACAGAAATTTATCTATGAGGATAGTTGCTTTATTATTGGAGCAGGCTGTCCTAAGCAACTTTGCCTTCATTCAGTGTCAACACTACTTTGAGCAGGAGATTGAACTGCATTCCAATCCTTCTATGACACACAATAAAGGACAGTGAACGTTTCCTTTTAATAGGACAGATTAATTGTACAACATCTTCAGAGAAAAGTGCACTTTCAAGTATTTCACATTTAATCCTTTAAAACTGTAGGTTTAATTTTTTTTTTTTAACCTATGTTTATATTGTTCAGCAATCAAAGCTGCTTTGATCCATCAAAATATGTGCTTTGGGAAGTTAACCACAACCTAAAAGTAACTTGAAAACACAATGCTGTTGGGTTTTTTCTTGAGTATTTCCTGGACACTAATTAGTTAAAAAAGGCACTCTATGTAAACTGTATTGTTCTCCATGGAAACACAGTATCTGATGACATCTTTCTGGAGTGAAAAAAACCCAACATTGGCTGATACCTTACAAAAAGAATGAAACTTTAGCTGCAGCAAGACTATTTAATTATTTATGTAATTCAGTGTGAACATAGAACTTGAAAATTATATTTCCATATCAATTTGCATCCATGTTAAAATCTTAGAATGCCTGTCCACAGATTAAGTATACTATCAAGTTCAAATCCTTTAATGTGTTACCATTATAAAGCCAGAAAAAAACCCCAAATTAAATTGTACTTCAATTTTCCACATGTAAACATGTACAGATTCCCATCTACGAATAAAGGTTTTATACATCACATTAATCCTTCAATTATTTTCTAACAGTTGGAAGTGTCAAGTCATTATACTCCATAGACGGGGGGGGGACGGACCGTACTTTTTTGCATATAAAATACATCTGTGCCATGTTCAGCACCAGAATTATTTTGATTCAAAACATACTGTCATAAATTCTGATTGGATTGGGCATTAATTGTACCATGAAAAGCATTTTAAAAGACTTTCAAAGGTTCCCAGAGGTTTCTTCTA